AATAGTGTAGAACCCGCTGAGACACAGCCATTTGAAGTACCATGTTAGAATGAAGACTCCGTCTGCTGGTGCTGATAGGCATACATCACTCATAGCTACCACTTAGAAGCACCAAGTAATTTCCTAGAGAAAATGTATTAGGCTAGGATTTTTCTTTCAAATCTGGTTCCAAGACAGTAAGAGAATGATGGATTGGATGTTACCAGACAAATGTTAATAATTATTTGAGTCATGATTTCAGTACTTTATATCTAAATCATTATGTCATGTTTACATTAGAAAGTTGATGTCCTCATCTTGGGGCATGCTATGGATTGGAAACAGTTTAAGGGTGTCACTGTAGGACTCATGTATTGGAAGCATGGTGTTAAGTGGTGGTAAGCCCTTTAGGAGGTGAAGTCTGATGTAGTTCTTAAGTCAAGGCATTTCATGACATGTGAAAATCATAAGAAATTAAAATTTCTATGCCTATGCATAACATTTTACTAGAATATAGACACTTAATTCTGTATTGCTAACCCAACTACATTTGTATTTGAGGAGAGATGTTACAGCCCCCAGAGCCTAAAATATTTATCATTTAGAAGTTAATCAGAAAATAACATTTGTCAGTTCCTGTTCTCTGTGACAACCCAGAGTTTTTATTTTAGTTTTAAAGTCAAAATACAAAAAAATAAGATAGGATGTACTATTTTTGTTTGGCAAGAATAAAATTTAGTCCATGTGAAATTTTTTCTACATTTCTACTTAGAATTTAAAGTTGTTCTCTTTAAGTTGTTTAGGAACTAATAATAGTTTAACACTAATAAATAAAAGCAATGTTTAATGTTGTACAACTGTATTATTATGCTGTAGTTCTAGCACATGAATAGCATAATAAAGCACTATAGCCTGGGTAGCTCAAAGCAATAGCTATTTACATTTTCACCCTTGAATAGACTAGAAATCTGCTACAGACTTAGTGTTTGTATGCTGAAACTAGCCTGCAGGATCATATTTTTTTGAAGCTGGGTTCTTTGGGAGGTATGGGAAATTACCTTAGGTTGTGGGGGAGGGCCTCATGATGAGATTATTACCTTATATTACAGAATGAGGATGCAAGAGATGTATGTATACATGTGTGGATTTGCACATGCCAAAAATGACCATGAAGGAACATTCAGAGAGGGTCCTCACTAAGAACCTGTGCATGCTAGTGCCTTGATCTTGAACTTGAATCATGATCTTGAATGTCCCAAGATGAGAAATTGGTTCTCTGTTCTGCTCTATTTTGTTTATAAGCCCACTAGTCACTGGATTTCCTTTTCAGGAGCCCAAACTGACTAGCCAGTCTAAGGTCAAGGCGTGGTCATTATGGTGTCTGTGACTGGGCTTGCAGACAGCTGAGTGCTTTATGAGTTCTAAATGAAACTGACTAGCCAGTCTAAGGTCAAGGCGTGGTCATTATGGTGTCTGTGAAGGTCTCTACCCTGGGCTTGCAGACAGCTGAGTGCTTTATGAGTTCTAAATGCTCTGTCTCCTCTTTGACTGTCTGCTGTCTCTCTGTCTTGATGGGGGAAGTACTTCTGTGTATGGTTATCTTATTGGTTGTTAAATAAAATACTGTTTGGCCAATGAGACAGCAAGTTAGACGGGACTAGGAGTCAAAGAGGATTCTGGGAAATGTAGTAGAGAAGTGATGATCCAAGCAGGAAGTGACATAGGAAGGAGACTCATATTTAAGCAAAGGAAAGAGGAAGGGTTCCCCTTTATCCCTCCACTCTTCCTTCAGCAGCGCAATGTGATCCACTGACAAGGAGGGACGCCAATAAGGCGTCCAATAAGATAAGTCTTATAAAATATATAGATGTATGATAATCAAGACTGAGCTAACAGATGAGAATCCTGGTCATTGGCCAAGCAGCATTGTACCTAATATGTCTCTGTATTATTTTGTCCATCCACGCTGTGGGCAGAACTCAGGCGGCTGGTGGAGACCGCCCACATGGCAGTAGGTCTCGGGTGGCTTTTGGCAGAAAGATTTATCGTAACACTGTCTGTCCAGATTTCTTACAGCAATTATCTACTTGTTACTTAATCATCTCTTAAAATGACCTGGTTTCAAAAGTAGTCACATTCTGAGGTATGACATTAGGGCTCACTCAACATATGAATATTCGGAACTTATGATTTAGCTCATAGTTAGTGATAAAAGGGAGTTCTAGATCTTTTTCCTTTTTAAAAAGGAAAGTCTGAAAGTAAATTAGACTTCACTTGCTTGAGTCCAGACTTTTCAAACCAAGTAACAAGAAAGATCTGGTAGCCCAAACTTAAGTTCAACCATGTCTTCTAAAGTTTATGGCATATCTCCATATTTCCTTCCTTTCTCCCTTCCTTCCTTCCTTCCTTCCTTCCTTCCTTCCTTCCTTCTTTCCCTTCCTCCTTCGTTTGCTTCCACTCTTCCTTCTTTCCTTCCTCCACTCGATTCCCTGTCCCAAGTGCTATTGATAGAGTCGTTTTGCATTTGTGGCATTGTTTTATCTTTCTTTTAGCATATTCTCCCTGCCCATTTCAGTTTACCCATTTCTTTATGTCCTCTGTGGCACTATATCCAAAACGTAAGCTTAGGAATTTCTCCACCAAAAGAAGATAAAGCTAAATTAAATTAAAATTAAAAGGCTCAGAAGCTCAGCTCTTTGATAGAAATGTTGATAGGAAGTTGAGAGAAAAAAGTTTGCACAGGAAGCCAATCCTTCTGATTGTTATAAAGGGCCTTATCCTCCGCATCTGTCTTTTATGCTGCCTTGTAAGGAAATACAATATATTTGGAATAACTTGAGAAATGCTTCTGATTCAAAGGAAAAATCAGGCTTCATGTGTTTTCTATAAAACAGAGATTTAAGTTCTATTCCAAGAGGATAAAAATATTTGTGAAAGAAAAATGTAATTTTAATTACTGAAATCAAAGCAATCGCACACCAGAGATGTTGTTTTTCCTGAAAGTGGATATTTAAAAGCTGATGAATGTGATTCTTTCTTTCTTTTTTTTTTTTTTTTTTTTTACTGCCGATTTCCCAATTTCCAAAAGACATTTAGTGATTGTTCACAAATGAGAACCACACATGGCTGACTGGTGTCCCAGGCCAGACGTACATCTTTCTAAAGACTTCAGAGCACTTCCAAATGGCCGTGTTTATCAAATACATACTCATGAGGTAGGCAGGAGGAAGGAGGCATTTTTCTTACAGAGCCTCCCAGAGAGCAATCTTGAAAGCATAGCTAAGATTTTTCAGATAAGGAAGAAGCACATGCTGCCTTTTAAAAGGGGTTATGGTGACCCTGATTTTGCTGAAACCTTTTTGTCTGTACAAATGTCCAGGAGCTACCCCAGGCATTTGAGTTCATTAAGCAAGCTGGGCAAGGTGTACCTTAAAAGCTAATGGTAACTGACTTATTTCCTCATGTGTGCATTCAAACAATCAGGCAACATTTGAAGCTGTGTTTCATCTACTGGAATTCCAGTCTGACTTTTGAGTGTATTCTCTGTAGTCCTTGTATGGATGGTATAAATTATGAGAGTTAATGATAATTATGGAATGTTTTAAAAACAGTCTAATTAAATTTACAGTAATAGCTGGAATTTTGATGTTTTTCCCCCTCCCTTGGAAACAATAACTTAGTATTGGGCTTTGGTATTTTACATTTTTCTGCTGTATTTATTTGTGCTATCCTATTTTTTTGGGGGGGATTTGCAGTTAGTCATCTGAAAAAGAGTTAAAGGACCTTCTCACTGACTTTTAGAGAAGATCTAACCAAAGCAGTGAGCAGTTGAGTGGCAGAAGCCTGAACGTCAACAGCCAGGCAATGTTCTAAGACACATGGTGAGGAGAACTTGGTTTGCATAAAATTGAATCCAGTTTCAACTTCTCATCTTATTCCTCAAGAATTGCCATTTTAAATGTAGGTTCTGACACGATATCTGTTAGTGAGTCTTCTGTTACTGTTACAGAATACCTAAAACAATAAGGCTTGTTTGGGCTCATAATCCTAGCATGTCAGTCCCGCACAGCTGGCCTTGTTGCCTTTGGGCCTGTGGGAAAGAGCATAATGACTGAAGCACTTGATGGAGTGAACCCTTCCCAAACATGGAAAAGGAAAGGATAGTCTTCCACTGTCCCTGTCAAGAACAGGTCCCCAGTTTCCCAAGGACACTACAGCTGCCAATAGTGCTAATTTGGGAACCAAGACTTTACTGTATGAGTATTTGGAGTGGCATTTCATACAATCTATAATCATGTCAACAGCCTTTCAAAGAAAACGTAGTGCCAAGTCTCTTCAGAGCAAACATAAAAATTCTCTTTATTCTCTTACATTTCTTTTTAAATTTATTTCCTTTTGAGATAGGATTTCACTGTGTAGCCTTGGAACTCGCCTCAAAATCACAGAGATCTACCTGCCTCTGCTTCTCAAGTCCTGGGATTAAAGGCATGCACCACCAAGCCTGGATTTCTCTTACATTTCTAGTAGAAGTTTGTATTTCTTTCTCCCTGAAATTTTGATCCTTAATAGATCCTCTTCTGATTTTCATAGCAGTGTAAGAAAACATAAGTCAGTTGAATTTATATTACCATGATGTTTTGAAAGACCATCATCCATTCAGATGGCACTCACAATTATGTTTCAGATACTGATTCTTCAGTATCCTGGATCCTAAGAACTTTCTGTCACAAGCTTGATGGTGTGAATTGTACAGGAACATCAGCTCTCTCTTTTCTTCTTTCTTTCTTTCTTCCTTCCTTTCTTTCTTTCTTTCTTTCTTTCTTTCTTTCTTTCTCTCCCTCTCTCTCTCTCTCTTTCTTTCCTTCCTTGCTTCCTTTCTTTCTTTTTAGAATTTCATACATGGACACTGTCCTTACATCATTTCTTCTCCTACCTCTCCCTACTACTCTTCCCACATTCCCTGCAACCTGACTTTACAGTCCATGATTTGACCTAGATGAGCAAATTTCATTGTTACTGACCTTGTTTTCCTCTTCCAAGGGTGCTGTAACTCCTGAAAGTCACACACTTTTCTTCTGTCCAGTTTTAAGAAATGACACTAACTTCTTTCACTTTCCTTTTCTCTTTCTCTTTCTCTGTTCCCTCTTTCTCCACCTCTCACCTGACCTCTGCCTGGCTCTTTTCCTTTTTCAAGTGACTAGCTGATAACAGGGCACAGAATGCGTCTTTGGATACCCTCATTCTTGACAAATAATGGCCTTAAAAGGTACATATTCCCCATTCTCCACCCCCTCTAAGTAAGAATATTACCCTAGTAGGAATTAAAGCAATTTAAGAGACTTACATTAGGTTTTGACTGTTGACTTCTCAGTACAACCAATCAATCACAAAATATGTCAGAAGACAGGCCAGTCCATGGGAAATTAAGGTTATACAAATAAAAAACATTGTTGAGGAGACAATAAGTGAATAAGAGGGTTTTAACTTATGGCAGTTGCTGATTGAGGACAGATATTGGCAACAACTACAAACATCATGGCTTTTGTGTTCACTCAAAAATGTTTTATTGGGAAAGTGTTATAAGCTGAGGTTTCTCTAAAGAAACACACGGAACACAGGTACAAAGCTAGAAGAGCTTTCCTTAAAGGAATCAGGTATTCTTGTAGAGGATGAACTGCAGGCTGGAAACTGACTGATGGTCAAGAGTCAATAATATCATCTTCAGAGGAATGGTCTCTTTTCCGTTGAGACTTCATGTTAACTTCTAAGGTCTTTGAACTGAAAAGGCAGCCACATTTCCATTACAGAGAATCTTTATAACAATAACTCAGCTGCCTGAGTTCCACCATCACGTTAGGGCTCCCAAATAACACACAAAGTTTTATATTATTTACAATGCTGTTGGCCAATGACTAGGATTTATTTTCTAGCTCTGTCTTAAGTATCAACCATAACCATTAATCTATATATTTTATAAAGACCTATCTTCCTATCTTACCGAGGACACCAGCAGCATACATCCTCTCTTCCTGGGATCAGGTGACCCCTCTTTACTACATTTCCCTAGACCTTCATTACATTACTCTTGTTTTCTGAAAATAAACATTCACACTATTGTCCCACCTAACTTGCTTCCCTCTTGGCCAACAGTGCTTTATCAACCAATAAGACAAACATATACACAGAAGGACCACCCTCCATCATCTAAGGTCTTTGAACTGAAAAGGCAGCCACACTTCCATTATGGAGAATCTTCTTTGCTCAAAATGAGCTGATTGCAGGCCAAGACAGCTACAAACTCATAGCAACACCTGGGTTAGTGTTTGAATGACTAGGTATTCTAACTTGCCTAACAGGACACATAAAAGCAGCCATTGGAGAGTTGGTGAGGTGGATCCATTTTAGAGATCCTCAATGCCAACTATGCCTGATCACCCATGGTTGCTTCCCCAACACCCACATGGCAGAAGGAGAGAAAAGATTCCTGTGGGTTATCATCTGACTTCTACACATGTACCATGGCACCTGCATGCACTTGTGTGCATACAAACAAATAAGTAAAAAAAATAAATGTAATAAAAATTTTAAGTTATCAGTCTCGCTTTTTCAAAAGCAGCCATTGAGAAAATATAAACTGAACAGGCCATGTAGTCTTCATGAATTATGGTAATGATAAGCTCCCAAAGCACAGTAGGAGACAAATGCATCTAAAACCATTCATTTGAAGCATATGGTAATTTCAATGCCAAAGAATTGAATTTTCTCTTTCCAAATTAGCACATTGGTTTAAGTCTCAACTCTGTCTCTGAAGTTTCCTGTCTCTTAGAAGGTTTCCAACTCTTAGCATTAAAACCCTTTATTTCTGGAAATAAAATGAGTGATGTCATGATCCAGGAAGAGGAATATTGGAGCTTTTACAATCCCTATGGCCCCCCACTATCTTTTCCTTTGTGTGATGCTGTCTCTCTACTGTAGACACTTGTGTTTTAACTTTAATCAGAAACTCCTGTTTGAGACAGATGCCCACAGCTCCAAGTTACTGTGCACACAATAGTGTGAATGTTTATTTTCAGAAAACAAGAGTAATGTAATGAAGGTCTAGGGAACTTAAAATGCCATTTCCATCCCCCCTTTTTTTTTTTCTTAAGAAGCCATCTACATAATATAAGTCTTCCTAATGGCAAAGGAAAACAACTTTCATTCCAGGTCTGGAAGAGTGAGTGTCAGATGCCTGGGGAAATAGCTTAGTCTTCTTTCTAGTTAGGCAAATTGCTTATCTCAGAGATGATGTTTATACAACCTCCAAACCAATGTGCTTATCTTTACCATGAGTTCCATTAACAACAAAAATCAGGTCTCATCACTGACTCAATTACATCCTTGGCTACCTGCCTTTCTAATAAGCTGCCAAGAGATACTAGAAAGAGTCCAGAACTTCAGTTAGTAGTGTTTCTGAACCAGTCAAAACCCAGCTAAGAATTTTGTTCTCCCAGGATGCCAATATTGTTACCTGTGACCAAATATAAATAGATTTATATAGCTTATATATTTTGCTTTTATATTTATAAAAGCCAACAAATATTGACAATTTGTTTAATAGTTGTCCTGGCTAGCTTTATGCCAATTGACATTTAAAAGGAGGGCCCCTCAATTGAGAGAATGCCTACATAGGATACATCAATAAGGTATTTTCTTAATTAGTGACAGATGGGAGAGAGCCCAGCCCATTGTAGGCAGTACTATTCCTGGCCTCATGGTCCTGGGTTCTATAAGATAGTAGGCTTAGCATGTCATGATGCGTAAGCTGGTAAACAGAATCCTTCCATGGCTTCTGTATCAGCTCCTGCCTCCAGGTTCCAGCTCTGCTTGAGTTCTTGTTCTGACTTCCTCCAATAATGGGCTCTGATTTGGAAGTATAAGGCAAACACACCCTTACCTCCCCAATTTGCTTTTGGTCATGGTGTTTCATCACAGCTATAGTAACTCTAATGAGGACAATAATTATGTTTCGAAAAATGTGCATGACTGTAGATGAAAAAGAAGGACATTTACATTCTTTAAGAAAGTTTTTTGTTGTTGGGTTTTTTTTTGGCTATTGAGGAACTGGACATGGCTGTGTTCTAAGTGTTGGTGTTGCCACTGATATGATATTGAAGAAGGCATTCAAATCTTTAGACTTTAATTTCTCCCTCTGCTAAATGGGGATGATCTAAAGCAGTGGCATCAAGACTTGTGTTGTTCATAGATCAGAAAAACAAAACTAGAGATCATGCAGTGCTAGCAACTTTTACTTTTCTGGTTAGTGGCATTTTAAAACTTTAACTGTCTACCTACTAACCTTATCACTGAATTCAATGACTTTGAATACAGAACAGTAGATTGAATGTGAATTAGAATACTAGCCTTTAAATGTGATTCATCAAGATTTAGGAAAGACAACTGTGCTGTTCTCACTCCTCTCATTTCCCTGAATACTTATTTTAAAACTATTATAAAAACCAAGCAGCTGCCCTCCTACAAGGTTTTGGCATCATTAGGGGATGCACTAACTTTAAAGCATAGTGGTCTGATAAGACACAGGGGTTTTTCCAATTTTTTATATCTGTTGAGGTTTGCTATGTTGCCGAGTATGTGGCTGATTTTAGAAAAGGTTCCATGTGATGCTGAGAAGAAGGTATATTCTTTTGTATTTGGAGGGAACGCTTTATAGATGTCTGTTAAACCCAGTTGAGTCATAGCTTCTGTTAGTTCTTTTGTTTCTTTGTTAAGTATCTGTCTAGTGGCTCTGTCTAGTGGTGAGAGTGGGGTGTTGTCTAGTGATTAGAGTGGGGTGTTGAAGTCTCCCACTATAAGTGTGTGAGGTTTTACGTGTGATTTGAGTTTCAGTCATGTTTCTTTTACTAACATGGGTGCCTTTTATTTGGGGCATAGATGTTCATAATTGAGATTTTATCCTGATGGATATTTCCTATGATGAATATTGAAATAACCTTCTTCATCTATTTTGACTAATTTTAGATTGAAGTTTAATTTGTTAGCTATTAGGATAACTACACCAGCTTGTTTCTAGGTCCATTTGATTGCAAAATCTTATCCCAACCCTTTACTCTGTGGTAACATCTGTCATTGAAGTTGAGTGTCCCGCGCGCGCTCTGTATTTCTCGCCAGCAAGAAATCATACACGGGACACTCGGATCCTTCTGCAGACAAGCTTTAATGCATCTTGAGAGTGAAAGAGCATAAGCTTCCCAGAGCGGAGACTGAGCGGAGACACTAAACCAAGAAGACCATCCCTTATAAAGGCTGGCCAGCCACCTGGGACGTGTTACCCTATGAATGGCTTCAGCTCCTCAGGCCAAAATGAGCCACGGGATAGGCAGAGATCAAAGGAATGGAGATTACCCAGCGCCTGTGAAGTAATTTACATCTTGGTGTCTTCAGGCACCATTATAATGCAGGAAACGGCCCCTTACAGTTCACCTCAGTTTCTTGTATGCAGCAGAAGGATGGATTCTGTCTTTGTATCCATTCTGCTAGCCTGTGTCTCTTTATAGGCTTGTTAAGACCATTAATATTGAGGGAAATTAAGGACCATAGAGTGTTAATTCTTGTTTGTTTTGGATTTGTTGTTGTTGTTGTTGTTGTTGGTATTGTGCATGGATTTACCCTGCTTTTTCTTTTGGCTTTTGGTAAAGTGGGATTATCTATTGCCTATATTTTTGTGAGTGTAGTTAACTTCCTTAGGTTGGAGTTTTCCTTCCAGTACTTTCTGTAGGGCTGGGTTAGTGGATATGTATTACTTAAATCTGGTTTTGTCATGGAATATCTTGTTTTATCTATCTATAGATATTGAAAGGTTTGCTGGTTATAGTAGTCTGGGTTGGCATACATGGTCTCTTAGTGTAGGTAGAATATCTATCTAGGACATTCTGGCTTTCAGAGTTTCCATGAAGAAGTCAGGTGTTACTCTGATAGGTTTGCCTTTATATGTCACTTGGCCTTTTTCTTTTGCTGCTCTTAATATTCTTTCTTCATTCTGTATATTTGGTCTTTTGATTATTATGTGGCAAGGGAATTTTTTTGTGTGTGTGGTCCATTATATTTTGTGTTCTGTAAGCTTC